TGTTTCTTTCTTTTTCCCCCAACAGCTGCTGTAATTTCTCTTCTTGTTTATTTTCTTTCTCCTTCAACCACTGCTGTAGTCTCTCTTCTTGTTTCTTTTCTTTTTCCTTCAACAACTGCTGTAATCTCTCTTCTTGTTTTTTTCTCATTCTTCTTGTTTCTTTCTTTTTCCTCCAACAACTGCTGTAATTTATCTTCTTGTTTATTTTGTTGTTCGAGCTGCCACTGTTGCAGGTTTTCTTGCAACTAGCTGTTGTCTCTCTTCTTGTTTCTTTTTCCTCCAAGAAGTGCTGTAATTTCTCTTCTTGTTCTTCTTGTTTCTTTTGCTGTTCTTGTATTGCTGCCATCAAATCTGCTAAGCTGTAGTTTGATTTGCCGCTTCTCGTTTCCATTTTTTTTTATCCCACTTCTGACACCAATTTGTTACATCTTTGTTCGTTAGTTAATTTTCCGTAAATTCGTTCCGACGAAACTTTAGCGACACAAGTCCTTTCTTAAATAAAACTGGTTTATTCTTTCTAAATATAACTTTGGGATACACTTAATTTCAACAGTCACGCTATAATTCAAATGAACGTCTCACGTGCTCAACAATATTCTCTCTAACTGCAGTTCAATTACTCATTACATTACCCCCGTCACGTTGTGACCGTCTTATATATACAAGACTAACACATATCTAGTAAACGCTAGAGCATTCATGAAGGAACATGATATTTCCTGAAGGAGGTGGCGTGATACTAGTCACGTGACCTCGCTGAAGCAACAGTATCATTGTGTATTGTGTAAATCAGAGGTTTGTGTTTGTCCTGGCAATTCTCTAACCAAATGTTTTCTTTTCACATAGAAACAAGTTGGCTAAACTAGGAACTAATGTTGACCCCATGTCAGTGACATCAGTTTGATAGTAAAATTCATCATTGAACATGAAACTTGATTGTTTGTTAGCAAATTCAAGTAACTTGTGAAACATGTGCTTGTTTAATCTTTGGTTAATTTTTAGAAATAGGATTAAGTGGACTGTTTGTATATAAAGATGTTATATCAAAGCTAGCACAAAAAACTATATTATCAAAATTTAAGTCTTTAACAAATGAAGCAAATTTGAAACTGACTTTAACTGTATAATCTGAGAAATAGAACTAACAAAGTTTCTAATTCATGGTTAATGTGTCAATGTTAGATACACTAGGTCTGGTTGGATTATTAATTTTGTGAAATTTTGGTAATCTGTATAAAAATTCTAGATTGAGATCCCATGGGTCTGGTTCTGTTTTAAACCTGGTTGTTGATAACTCTCTTTCTCTGTAAAATAAGCCTCTGTAATTTGCACTCTATCCTAACTGTAGAGTCCTCTGGTAGTTTTTGGGTTTATTCTGATTGTTCCAAATATTTAACACCTTTCTAACATAATCACGTTTATACGGTATGACAAATCCATTACATATATCAGATTTTATATTAAATAAATATATATATATTTATATTGCATTACCATTATCCATCCAGGTTGTCAACTTATTGTCATAGCAGATCATGTCTGGGGATATCCCATCTATCAGACAAAATCCAAATGCCAATGTTAATCTAGTCAGCTGTCATGGAAAATCAAATAAGGATATGAAGCTGAGTGGTTTACACCCACAACGTCTCAGCTTCTACTGCTTTTCATTGTCTATAGCCAGTTGTGGAAAGGCAGTTACCCTTAAATTTCTTGAAGTAGAAATGAAACCACTCTAACATTTCTACTAATTAAACTCAAAACCTCCATCCTTACAAAAAAAATATTAAATAGAACTATGTAATATAAAATAGAACTATACACCCTACCTTAAAAGTTCTTATATAGTTTGCCCTCCAGTGGCACAGCGGTATGTCTGCAGACTTACAACGCTAGAATCCGGGTTTTGATACCCGTGGTAGGCAGAACACAAATAGCCCATTGTGTACAAACAAATAATCTTGTATAGTTCTTACACCCAACCTCGTTCCTTTCTCATGAAGATTTATTCAAGTACAACACGGGAACATCGAGACAAGCCCAGCTACTTGAAGGTAGTCTTTTAGTCCCAGTATACTGAATAAAATTATTTTAAAATTGCTATTAGTTACTTATAAATCAAAGTAACTAACTCCCTATTTTATAAATAAAGCTTCAAGATTTTGCTTAAAGCAGGAGGCACTGTTGACAACATGGTAGAGTATGTAGACAGAACTGGTACATTGTTATGCTTGAAGCTTTTTGTATGGGCTGTTCACTAAACTCCTTCACAATTCCTGCCTCTACCTCTCATTGAAAAGAACATCACAAATAGACTAGGATGTGTTCAACGTCAGATTTGCCATACAAGTTGAGTTTTTCTCTACTACCTGGCCACAGTGTGTAGTCCACAACATTGAATCCCTGAGTTGGCATACATTAAATATATGAAACTTTTCATAAATGTATTTAACCACATTGTCAACAGATCCAGCATTACTTGTTGACCTGGCAGCTGAGGGGCAATGGCCAAAAAACATGATCTTCCAGGCATCAGTTGAATCATCACCAAACATCCTTGTCTCAGGGTAATACATCTTAAGAAACTGCTTCATGTATATTGTGTATACTTTGAGTCATTCTTCAGTTCTACTAACCTAAAGAAACATGTCTGCTGATAGCTAGACATGTAGCAACAGTAAGTCATTAGACTTAAAGAATTTGATAGACAAGATACTGGCTCTTGAATATCTCTTAGATTGTAGAATGTTTTGATGAAATTGACAGTAGTGACTTCATCACTGCCACCTTGACCCAAATGAAAAACCACAGCTTGTAGTTTTTGCTCCATGGCACCCAAAGCTGTTCTGGCTATTATAGAAACTCATCACACTTATTCAGTACTAAAGTGGGCAAAATTTTAATCTATAATCCTTGTGATTTTTTTTTTTTCATCTGTTTTCTTTTTGGGTATTCCAATGAAATTTAAGAACCTACTTTAAAGTTACTTCAAACTGAGTAGTGCAAGGTAATGTTTTCACTGTATCCAGAATTGCCAGCTGAATTTTGTGAGCTACAAATTGGAATGGGATATATATATTGTTGTTTTTTAATAGTGCTGCAAGCCCATCATAATAGCTGTACCACCAAAATTAACTGATATTAATGTGGTTGTAGGAGGAGATGTTAAATCTTCCAGACCCAAAAACAACAACTTTATTCTACTAACATTACTATCTGGGACACCTAATGCTTGTGCATCTTCAATATTTTGTATTTCCAGTAGGTACTTACCTCCTACCTAAACTCTTGTTTGCCCTCTAAGCATTGCTAAAAAAATGTTGCTGCCAACTCACCAGTATTTATACCCCATCAGTTTTGGGCCATTTCTGAACATGTACATATCATGTGAGCACTCTCCACATGATATCTACTCTCCAGTATTGTGCCATCTATACTGGTGCAGCTAGCTCCTTCTGTTATTCCTGCTCAGTTTTCACTTTCTATTGGCTTACCATTGTTTAGATATGTTTTTTTTTCTTCTCACATTTGCTACAGTTTATAGATGTGATTTTTTTGCCATTTCTTTTTTTGTTGTTGTTGCATTTATTTCTTGTTACCAAATTACAAGAAATCATAGTATGAACTTGTGATTAATGTAAGTGATGACTTCCCAAGAATCGGGTTTGACTTTTCCTGCTGTGGAGGTACGAGCCTTAATTTGCAAGGAGCTTGATTCATATATTTGGCCGGTGATTTCTCTTCACGTGACAGTATTTCTCAAGAAGAACATAAGCAATGAGTAGACACTTTGGACTTTTTCTAGCACCTTCCACCTGTTGCTGTGCCACCACGTCATTCTCTTTGGGGAAGAATTGTTCTTCTTCCCAGGGGATCTGTGGTAAATTTTTCAACATATACACCTGTTTGATATACCCATGGTAGGTTCAGTTCAAATGCCCTTTGTGTGGCCTTGCACTTGTTTACACACAGGAGAATTATGTATTTCATATCATCAGTGCCTGGACTTTGGTAAGTTCAATACTGACCTGTTATTTGTTATCTAAGTTACTTTAGATGAATTGTAAGTTAGATGTTGATTATTATTTTATAATCCCTCTGCCTATTCAATATGGGATTCTAGATATACATATGGAGGTAATGTACTATATCCAAAGTTATTATTTTTCTATACTGAAAATATATTTGTGAGAGGAGGTAAGTATCTATTGGAAATATATTTTAATTATAGGAAAATAACTTTTGTGGTTTGTATTTACACTATATTATATTTACTTTTGTAACATACATATAGAAGGTATATTTTATTGATTCTACACATTTATGCTCGGGCAATATATATTTCAAGTTCAACACTGCTCTTTTAGTCTTATAATGGTGATTACATTTTGGCAAAGAAACAGCGATTTCCAAGGTGTATTAAAAAATAATTCAGTAAAAAAAGTACTTGTCTGACTAGCAATATATTGGTAAAACTTGTTGTCTCTGGCACATCGTGTTGTCTCAGGCATAGTGTGATATGAAATAGCCACATCTTTACAGTTTTCTAAACAAGTGTTTAATATATAATTACTATGTAGATATTATAAAAGAGAGTTGGCATTGGTTTTTTTTTTTTACAGTTTCTGTATTCTCCTTTGTGTATATGTGTATATATATATATATATACAGTATTTGGTGGTAAAAGCTGCATATTTCCTAATTATGAATGTTATAAATCTCTTAAGTAGTAAGTTATTAACTTTTTCAGATTGTGCTGCAAACTCTTATAAGCCTTTTCCTAACAATGTGTGGAGTTTTGTATGTGGCTGGAGAATTTAAAGAGATTCGAGCAACGGTAGAATTGGAAAGCAAGTATGTAATTTATTTTTGTTTAAACACATAAGAACTCCCTAAGTGAATATTGTATTTGATTTAAGTATGCTAAAACTAGAAATAAATAAATATATATATATATTTCATTTTAGTTTAGCAAGTATGGTAGCATCATTACAATAACTTCTTACTAACTATGCAGTTTGCAATTAACCAATGTGCAAAAGTCATAATCATTATAATAGCTAAACCAACCATATTTAGTGCAATTTTGACAATACAACAACTGCTTTCTTTCTTGAAACTTGGTAATTTTATTTGTGCAGTAATTATAAAAATTTGTGAAGCATAATTAAACCTTATCATTGTCATTAAAATACATAGTCACTGCTAGAAAAAAGTATGTATATTATAACACTGTTATTGTACGAGAATAATGGATATGAGGTAATGTAAAACATTCTTAGCTGAAATAGCTGACAACTTTAATTGTAGTATAATGAATCTTTATATTGTAGACCTAACTCAAACATACACTCTAAAGTTTAAGTGTTTATGTATCAATCTTCTCCATCCATCTATAGTATATATATATATATATACTTAAAAACATATGAATATGATAATTATATCTGAATATCCATGTAGCAAGTATTTTCTCTGTTAACCAGAAATGGGTGATTAACTTGATTAATCAATATTGTAATAACTTTGCTCTTTGATTCTTTTAAATTATCTGGTGAATATGATTCAATGTCCAGTCCATGTAACAATAATAAGTTACTTTATTTTCTCCTATGATGTTTCTACAAGCTTTAACACTTGTACACTGCTCTAGGTGTACGTTGGAAATGATGTTAACTAACACAAAACAAATCAACTTATTTATACAAAGTGACTTGGGCAAACACTGACCCAAATACTTCACAAAAACACATTGACTGATTCAGCCCTCTATCTTGAATAAAATGCAACACTTTTAATTATATCCTTAACTATCTTTCAACTCACTCTACTCTTGAAACAACTCTACATATTTCACAAATATCTTGCATTTATAATCCAGCTTCAGGTGTACGAGAAAACTTTTTCACCTCCTTAGAACTTTCTAGGTGTTTTAGGCCTATCTTATTAAACTTTTTGATCTGAACATTATCAGTAAGATCCACAGCTCCTTGTAGCCACCATTTAAGTTTGTTTGTTGTTAAGCATAAAGACACACAATGGGCAATTTGTGCTGTGCCACCATGGATATCGAAACCTGATATTTAGTGTTATAGGCCTTCAGACTTATCACTGAACTACTGCAAAATTTTAAGGTACAACATTAAAAATATAACTTACAACCAATAAAATCAATTACATATGACTGATGATATGAGCAGGCCCAGACAGAATCTGCAGGGATTTTTTCAAAATTATGTTGAATGTTTTACCTTAACTTGATAGAAAATTTGTAGAAATGAATATGGTTTATTTTATGTGAAAGGATATATGGTTTTATTAATAAATATATTATGAAACATACTGGAATGTACATATTTTTTTACTATCAACCTCTGTATCAAAAATGAAAATTTATCCATAATGTTAAAATCTCAATTATATTTGTTTTTGTTTTTTTGCCCCCCAGTGGCTCAGTGGTAAATCTGATGGCTCACACTGCTAAAAACTGGGTTTTTGATACTCGTGATTAACCCATCATAGATAACCCACTGTGTAGCTTTGTGCTCAAGAACAAACAAATGTATTTTTTATAACCAGCACATTATACTTCACTGTAAATAGGCCATATATATTCTTTTTTAAATAAATAAATGTGAAAATTTTACTCATAAATAAAGAAATGACAAAGAAAATCACAACACTATCTAACTCTGAGGATACATAGATCTTTAGACAATACATTTTGAACATCCAAATGGGAAACATTCACCTTTTCACACTAAAAACAAGTGCTTACTCTGTGATGAAATAGAAAGATGTTTAAATGAAAACCAATTTCATTACGTGTCAATGACTCGTTAGTTTTTCATTATAATAATAAACTGGTAGCTATCAAAATATGCAAAAGCGTAACTGGAAATACAACTGTCATAGCAATGAACTACGCAAATACACAAATTTAATCCTTTATGTAGTTAATTTAAATAAACCTTTTACTGGTTTTAGGTTCTGTGTTGTGCATGATTATGCTAGTGCTTTTGTAATTGTTGCAACATTAAGGTAAGTAGTACTTTCACTGCATAGATTATTTGATTCCATAGGAATTCCACCTTTTTTTCTTTTTTTTTACATCTTCCACGGACATAAATGTTTTCTGCACCTTTTTTTTTATCAACAATTGATACTCGTGTATCCCTTCTGCCTTTGAGCATCATTTATATCACTTAATGTCACATAAAATAACAGATTAAAATCAAAATTACAATAAAAATGTAATCAGCTTTTTCAGATTATAAGATTATTACTGTTTTCATTTAATCCAGCTATCCAAGTAATCAAAATAGTACCATTATGATTTCTCAATTTTATTTTTCATTAATTCAAGTTTATTCAGCTTAGTCATTAGTGTCATTGTGTACATGGTTTTTGTTGAGCTTCCTTTCTTTACTCTTAACATCTTTAGTGTTGTTCATTTCTCTCTGGAGACCTAGACTGAAGTTGTACAACTTTAGTCCTCGCTATCTTCTCAGGTTATTTCTCAACCTTACCTTTTGACTACTGTTCTTCACCTGTATCAGTCTACCCTTAATCTTCCTATTCCAGATTCCAGGCCTTCCTGTCTTTCTTGTCCTCCTGCTACCCATTGTCTGGTTCATTGCTCTTCTTGTCAGTAACTATCCTGTCATGTCCAGCCCTTTGGGTAGCCATCTCTTCCTCTTCACCTGCAATTGGTTGTATTTTCTGCTGACACTTATTTTACCTTTTCTCCTCATGGTCTCTCCCCATTTCTCTTCTCTTTGCTCCTCTTCCCATTTCCTTTTTTCCTCCTTCCAACCCCATCCATGGTAATTTTTCACCCAGTCTGTGATTGGTCATAGTTAATTTGTCAGACACCTTCCTACATATCTTTGTTGACCCATACTCCATATGTTTTCTACATTCCATCCATCATACTTGCATCTTCCAATTCCTTTCTCTTTTCTTCAACAAAGTGTCTGCCCCTTTTATATTAATATCATGAAGACCTTTACTCATCATCTTCATGGCCTGGGGCTATCATTCTTTTCCTTGGATGATTGACTTCTATTGGCCCATTCTAGGATTGCATTCTCTTCTCACACCTCCCTTCTCTTGTGAGAGGCTACTTTGTTGGGGTGACTTCTTGAGATATCCAAGTCCTTTCTCATGCCACTTCTGGATACTTTTGGTACTTCTGGATGTTTTCTTCATCTCTTGTCTCAACTGAGCTCCATCTTCTCTTCATCTGTAAGCCATGGAGTATCTGGTCACCAAGATTCATGCCTCTCATTCTCATCCTGAGAAAGAGGACACTGGCTTTCCAGACACCCTTCATTCCTTTTGGGGTGTGCACAGTGGCTCTTGTGGATCCAAGGGATTCTTTCTTGGGTTCCATTGTCCTCATTTGTGAATCTCCCCTATCTTCAAGAAATTGTCATGGGGACTGGACCATGCCTGTACTACTTCCTTTGTTCCCTTACCAACTCCCCAACCAGATCTTTTTCTTCACCAATGCTCCCCTTTCAGATTGAGGCACATCTCTGGTTGATTATATGACTTCTGGCATTTGGAGTCAGAACAGGAGTTCACTCCACCTCAATGTGCTCAAACTTCTCATTGCTTTTTTTTGGACATGTTCCCATTTCCATCCCCTTCTGGTGGATCAGTAAGTTATGATACATTCTGATGCAGTTGTTTCGTACATCTACCATCAAGGTGACATCCTCTTCAGGACCTTCACTTTCTGGCATAGGAACTACTCTTCTAGGCTCATTCACATTGAGTTCATCTTGTTGCCTGTCATGTGCCTTGAGCTATTTACCTTGTGGCAGACCTCCTCTCTTGTCAGGACTGCATTTAACCTATGGAGTGGTCTCTTTGCCCCTATGTCTTTTGTTGGGTTTGATCTTGGTTGGACATGTCCCTCTGTGATGCCTTTACCATCCCTTTCAACTCCAATATTCAACCCTTCTGGTCTCCTGTTCCTCATCCATTGGCTCTAGCTATTGAAGCTCTCATCCAGAGTTGGTTCACCTTTTTCTATATGCCTATTCTATCTTCTGCTCCTCTTTCAGGTCCTTGACTTGATGTGCAACACTCCTGGAATCCTGCTGTGGCATATCTTTGGCTGCCTCAACCTTCGTTTCCTCTGCTTCTTCACTTGGCATCCAAATCTCCCTTCATATATGCAATGTCCCCTCACTCTTGCATCAACCTCACATGCCCCTTTTTTGTCAAGGGATCATATGTCATCCCTCCACCTTCACATGTTAGATTTCTCTGGTCCATTGCCCATTGGGCTGGACTGTAATATCAAGAAACCTTCTTGTCACATTCCTATTACCCTTTCACTATGACAATGGCAGTAATTTGTTGTTCAGCCATCAACCTTTCCTTTCTTCTTGACTGTCCTGCTGTGCTCTATCTTTTTGCATTTTTTAATTGGCTGTTTGACCATGATTTGTTAGTTTCAACCATTACTGACTATTGAGTCGTGCTGTCCACTACATTTCAATTTTCCCAGTACCATAGGGTGTTTTCTTCCCCTGTCCTCTTTGCTCTCTTCTGCTCTTTTATTCTTCACTTTTCTACTTGTCCAACTTCCATGCCTGCCTGAGTCTTTCATGTGGTTTTGCACACTATTACCCATCCAATAAGGGTAGAAGGAGAGGGGGTCCCAGGGTAGGAATAGATGATGGCATGGACCTTGAAAGGGTGAAGTCCATGATGAACAGCTTAAACAGGGCAGAGGAACTGACCTAGATCTAAACAACATAGAGGTGAGAGATAGAAGGAAAGCAAGGACATTTAATTTCCCAAGCAGCAGAAGTCAGATCGGTCCAGATATAGGAGTATATAATTGTGGTGGAAGAGGGTGCGAGAAGCATCAATAGAATAAACAACTAAGCAACTGCAATGACAGGCAAGGAGGAGGAAATAAGAAGCGAGAGAAAGGTGGTACAAAAATGAAAAACCAATGGCTTGAACAGGAGATGCACCTATTGATTCACCAATTGGTATGTTTATCTCTGGATGTGGATGCTCACAGGCTATTTCACGTTTCACCACTTTCAATTTATCTCCTTTCTCATTCCCTTGCTTCCCAGCTTTGCCAGCCCTAACACAAGATCCTCCATAAAAGCGTGTGTATGATTCCCCCACATGTTTGCTGCTCCTTCTGTTGAATGTCTGGCTGTTTTATCTCCTGCAGGATTTTGACTTGCACTGGTCTCCATACTTCAATGTACCCAGCATTTTGAAATGGGTATGTCTATTTCCTTTTTCATTTCTCTCCCTTTCCATCAAAAAAGGATCCTTGCAGATGGTATGCTTGTTTCCCAAAATCCACATCGAGCCAGGAGAACAAAAAAGCTCTCAAACCATCTTTTCTGGCTCTGCCAGTGGCCACTGCAAGATGAGCTGTTCAGCAAAACCACTTGAAGTATCCTCATGGTATACAAAGTTACTCAACTATCCAGTCCAGACTGTACCAATTCCATTGACTACCGTGAAGAAGGCCAGCACCTAGAGAAGTGACTACCCACTTCTTTGGTTTGTACATGTTGCATTTTAAAAATAGGGATTTGCAGTCACCTATTGCACTATCTCCAGTAAAAGTATTTTCTGGCTGATCTAGTGGGGATCCAAGCACTTCTCTGGGTCTCCCCAGTGTAAATTCTCTCTCTTTCTTCTTCAAGTGGAGCACAAGAGACCCTTGCCACTTACCAATTCCCAGCCATTGGGGAGGTGGACCATGGAGAATCCTCACTGGTTAGGCTTAGCACAATATGGTGAAAACTGGGGTGCTGGTGACACTGTCCATATAGTACAGGTCATGCCTTACAAATGTAACACATAACTAATGTGTATTCCTCCTTCAGCCGAACCCTTTTCTGTACAATCAACGTGATCACACTCTGTATGGTCTGATCATGTCCCAACCACTTGTGTGCAAGTGCTTGCATGGTCATATTCTCATTCCACCTATACCTGTGACACTTTGAGCTTGTATGCCTCTTCCCCCCTTATGTTCTGAGCAAAGAGTATACCCTGGTTGAGATAAAAAGTGGTCTCCCACTGCCCTCTGGTGTCACACAGCATAGGCTTTCTATCTGAAGGGAGCTGATCTAAAATTTTGCTCTGGCTCCTCCACCACTTCAACACAGAATTCTGTGTGAGGAGATGCATTATCTATCAGAAATACATTTTCAAATTAGAAAAATATTAACTTTTGAAAATAGGTATTGTTAGTTTGGTTTTTAATTCCTTTTGTAGTGCATGTAGTTGAATTAAAAAATAAAGAATAAACTTTTTTCTTTTTTAATGGGAGGGTGGTAACTTTAGTGGACAGAATATCTTCTGTGACCTTGATTTTTCTTTTTTTTTAATTTCATACACATTTTGAAACTATCACTCACATTCATGAAATTTCTGAATGACCAGACTAATATCTTTTCTTACAGGTCATATGAAAGCTTTGGAAATAGACCAAGTTTTTACACATTCAATCATAGAGGAAAAGCCTTAGCACGTGACAAGAGCTGATTGATGCTTCATCCAAATAAAATTTGCATGTAATTAAGAGCCTGAAGGACTTCATGAGGATAATAGCAAGAATTTGATTTGTTGTACTAGTAAGGATAAATCCAGACTGGAAAGTTAACTGAAAAAATTTTTAGTAAATTTATTTTATCCCTGCCATTCCAATAACTTTTATATTAATGCTGTAAAAGTTCTTTACAAATAAATATATGAAAACCTTGAGATTACAATCACAATCTTTCACTTGTGTTTGTGTAAGGAAAGTCAAACTTAATATTTAAGAATTTTTGAAAGATTTTATGGATTTTAAAAAGAAATGTAATGAGTTATTCTTGCTTTAAGAAAAATAATAAATCATAGTATTTAAACTTGTTAGATATGTACAGGAAGTCTCAGCTTTCTTCAAGTTTCCATTTGCTAAATGTCTATGTTTCTATTCCAAGGTTTCACTTTTAGTTTCATACAGTACACCGCAGCTCTGAAATGTATATATGTATACACACTCATTTACTGATGACACAAAATGCACTTGTATATGAAATGCAATAAAAGCATTGTAGGAAGAATGTTTCTTTTAATGTTTAGATTACATTTGTTCTGTGAGTACTTTATTAAAAGTGAAAGGAAAGAACAGATAAGAAATGTAAGTAGTAGTCATTTTAAAGATTCTTCAAGTTGCCCCACTCCCACCCAAGAAATTCAAAATTGATCTATACCTAAATTATGTGCTGTTTTGCACCCCTCAACTTGGGCAAATATTGAACTTAGAAAGTGGAGTGAAGGGCAAGTTGACAGTTAGCCCCCACCTTGAGACATTCAAAATCAAACTATGCTGAAATAATGTACAAACTGTTCAATGTTTTGCACCATTTTAATTATAATAAACTTCTCATTTAGCTGTGGCATCCTAACACCAGTAAAGTTTTGCTAGTAGCAGTAGTTTACACCTCCAAGATATTTGATAAAAACCTTAAGCACATGAATTCTAAAGGTTAGCAATGCAGAAGACTTAAGTGATTATCGGACATTTATACAATTGCTGAAGTTCGAGTTTGTGCTGATATTTTTCAGATTATGCTTGACTAGTTGTTTAAACTAGAAAATGTACTTGTAAAGATTCAAATTGATCTTATTCCACATGAGTTTTGGGCTAATTTTATGTATAAATGGCATCTTTTCTTTTTGATGTTACAGAGATGTGATACTAATATCTATACTCTATGTTAAGCCAAAAGTGTAATTACTTTGGCAGTTTGGTTTCCAGAAGCTTAAAATGTAAACAGAGAAGTTACAGATGTGATTTTTTTACAGATTTCTACAGTTATTTTAGTATATTTATGTTTCATTTTGTATGGAAATGTTTCCACTTTTTTACATGTACCAAAATCCAACATTTGCTCTAAAACTGTTTAAGGGGTTTTCTCTGTAAAGGAGCTGAAAATATGCATAGAACATATAGAAAGTTGTTATTGCATTTCCAGCTAATATGGAAATCTTTCTGGCTAATTTTAGTTGTATGCAGTAAAAGGAAAGTATTTCTACCTAAATCCCAAATTACTTAAATTTCAAAAATACAAAATTGATCCAGTGTTGTTGTTTTTCTTTAAATTAACTAAGAATGTGCATAAGACATAAAGATTATGGACACTATCTTTTAGTTTCTTACATATTTCCTGTTTATTTATCATTTCTCTGAAATTGGTCTGGTGTTTTTTCTTAATGTTGCCTAAGAAAAAAGAAAGAAAGGGTGGACACCATGTTTTTGGATTACCTTTGTTATTTGATTTTGGTGTAGCATTGGCAATTTTTCTCCTGCTATTGTGAAATTTTGGCTGTTTTAGTTGAAGTTGAGAGAAGTGAGAAAATTGCTGGCCTTTGGTTAGTCTGTAAAGAATTAGGGGATTACAGTACTCAGTCATTAGAAAATGATTGGTGTAAGTGAGTATAGCAGCTGCCTTTCTATGTTCTGCCAATATGGAGACTACAAGACTCCCTATGGTTATGAAACATTATAATTTGACTTACAAGAAACAGGTGCAAGTTCAGCATGGGTTTGAGAAAGGAATATAAAAGATAGGAGGTCAATGAAAAGAGGAGGAAGAAAGTCTAATATGCTGTTAGTAAGAAACAAAACCTATTCTTAAATCTGTGTGTTATTGATTACCAGTGATAAACAGCAATTTATTATGTTTATATTGGTAGAAATCAGTTTCTGATATAAATATGTACAACCTTAATAAGTTGATGGCAAAGTAAAAGAAGAACATGATCTATAACACAGTTGTATACTTGTATCTTTCAAAAGTTACATTAAGTTTTATTCTGCTATGTATACAATAGTTATCATAACATTCAAGGTCACAGGGTCAATTCTCTTAGCTATGACAATGTGCTTCCAAATAAACAAAACATGGTTCATGTGACATTTATTCTGAAGTTGTAAATACAAAGTAAAAATAATAACCACACTTTAATGCCATGCTTATGAATTGGTTACAGTAATACTAATATTCCATAATAAAAATTTAAGAATAAAAATTCAGTTATTTATTTCTAATCAAAGGGAAAATTTGCCAGAAGACAAAATAATACTGTTGCTTTCAAGTTAAAAGTTATGCATTGATTAATAAAAAGTTCAGTTTCAAACTGCTAAAGAAGAAATTATACCTGTAATATTTAGAAGCTGATGAAGAGTTAAACATATTTATATACTGTAATATATGTAACACTAAAAGCCCAAATGTCAGTTAACAACAAAAAAAACACTTGTTATATCATCTGTCATTTACCCAAAGCAAAACACCTTTAAAACAACAGATAAATAATTATCTTCAAACAATATGAATATAATAAATGTCACTTCTTCATCACTATTATTTATAACTAACAATTCCATATCTATGTTTTGAAAGCATTACTATCGTGTTGAATCAAGAGAAAAAATACATATTTTTTCCTAACCTCAAAAAAAATTGCTTACATAAATTTATTAAAACAATCTATGCTCTCAATCTATCCCTTTGTGCCTCTTACGTGAACTATGTTTTATTTTCATCTAGTAATCTGTTGAATGTTCCTAGTCATTATGTTTTTAACAGGCTTTGTAATGACCAATATTTTTAAAACCATTTTCTCAATATACAATGACACCTCTCAAATGGTAGGTTGCATTAGAAGCATATGAAATAGAAATGTTTAATTTTATCATATCCTCAGTTTTCAGTGATTTTGAATAATCTTCTAATTCAATAATAGAATGAATCAATGATATTTCAATTCTTCTTATTATACCATATTATATATGTTTTGAAAACATTCACTATACACTTCTGCATTAAGAATACTATTTATATTTGTTTCTAATTCTCTGTGTTTTCAGCTACATAACCTTACTTAATACTGTCAACACAGTTTTTCAGAATATTTTAATTGTGTGGACAAATTTCTGTTGAGCAAATAGATATTTCAGTACATCTTTTTAGACTTTCATCAACAACTTAATGAAACCACATTCATTACTGACTTAATTATATTACCAGATAACCTAAAATTATTATCATGACTTAATTATATTACCAGGTAACCTAAAATTTTTACCACGATAAATAGTTGATTCTTACTTTTGGTCATGATAGCTTTCATTTCTTTGCTGGCATAATAGATAATGCATAATAATTGAACTGTTTTGTCAAATATGCATGTATTTATAAGAACAACTCTTTTAGAGTCCCCAATTTTAATTAGCCTAATGGTATTTGTATTTCCATTTTTAAGTAAGCCAATAGGAATAATTGGTTTTTCTTTAGAGAGAACAAAATTTAGCCCATCAGAATTTGGAGACTAATATGGTGATTGATTTTTGTTTTGAAGGTTGGGTAGTAGGGGGACATACATAATCCCTTTCAGTTGTCAACAAATTATTATTTTTCATCTTGCAGTGACTCGTTATGTGTCTGCAAACAATCAATGCATATTCTTCTTTATTCATAGCAATCCTCCTTGCCAGAAAGAGAAGGGTTAAAAGAATCATGGAAAACATTAATTGATTCTCCACATGAGCATCAACTGGTAAATACCTTGCTTGATAGGACATACTGTTGTACTTTTGCTGTCAACTTGCTCTTCAGTCCTGAAATTGACCATTATTCTCTTGCTGTCCACCACAACTGAGGCTAGCACAAGATGATTGAATTGGTTCCTTATACAGCCCCCCCTCCCCTCCCCCAGTGGCACAACACTAGAAACTTGGTTTCGATAACTGTGGTGGGCAGAGAACAGATAGCTCATTGTGCAGCTTTGTGCTTAACTAAAAAAAACTGTCCTTATACATGGTAATATTTTTGTTAATTACACAAGTAATTATATTGTGCTCCCAGGAGATATATTGAAAAGATTAAACAATTATTTTAATTAATATGTGTGGATAGAATGGACAGATAAAATTTCACGAAAAATGGTTTTTATGAAATACAGGTTAGGTAATGATATCGCCGACATGGCCAGGTGGTTAGGGCGCTCGACTTGCAATCTGAGGGTCACGGGTTCAAATCCCCGTCACACCAAACATCCTTACCCTTTCAGCTGTGGGAGCATTATAATGTGATGGTCAATCCCACTATTTGTTGGTAAAAGAGTAGCCCAAGAGTTTGTGGTGGGTGATGATGACTAGCTGCCTTCCCTCTAGTCTTACACTGCTAAATTATGGACAGCTAGCGCAGATAGCCCTTGTGTAGCTTTGCACGAAAATTCAAACCAAAACCAATCATCTAAGGATTTTACATAGATAGTTATAGTATTATTGCCTCTCATTGGCAGCTTACAATGTGAGAACACCCTATTCTTTACAGTCTGACAAGTCTGCTTGTGGCTGACATGCTTAATTCGAGAGCTAAACAAATTTCATAAATTCACGTGTTGTATGAGTTGAAATCTAAGTCTTTCTTCTTTCTCACTTTACTTCCATCCTCTGGATCAAAGCCACTGCAATGATGAGCTGCACCCAGTGCCAAATGTTCCTTCTGGATTGTGCAGGAACTTGCACGTTCCTCCGAACTTTCTACATTGGTGTTAAACAACTTCATATCAATTTTGTACACAACTTAGTACCATCATAAAGGATAACACCACTTTCTGGAGACATCTTGAATCTCACTGTACAATATATTCTTGGAGATATGGTCTTCTCCCATTCTCCTAACATGATAATGGTTTTTAAGTGTGTTAGACCTACACACTTTAGCACTCTGTTTGATGTTTTGTCTTCCCACTTTATTTTCAGAATCTTAAGCACACATCTCCTGTGGAAGCTGTTCAAACTCTTGATATATCTAGCACATGTAGTCCACCTTTCTTAATCATAAAGGAGAGATGATAGCACACAAGTCTCATATATTTGTAACTTTTCCTTAGTTGATAGTTTGCTATTATTCCATGCTTGTTTCTGTTAAAGCCCAAAATCCTTAGTTGTTTTCCTGATTATGTTAGTCAGTTCAGTCTGAATGTAAAGATTTCTGCTGATCATGGAACCCAACTAGCAAAAGTTGCTGACAACACAAAGATTTTTACCCTCCAAAGTGAGGTCAGGTATTAGTTCTTTCACCCCTTGGTACATGAGCAGTCTTCTTGAGACTGACAATCCAAAGCTCTTGCATGATTCAGAAAAATTGCCCACAAGATTTTCCAGAGAAAATTCATCATGGGCAACCAAGGCCAAATGATCCACAAATAGGAAATCTCACATGAAAATATGGCTGAGATATAACATAACATTCCATTAGAGTGACCTGAGGTACAAGTTTTCACCTAACTTTATTCCCTTGAAGAGGTCCTCAATAAATTCCACTTCCACGTGCACATTTTCTGGTTCTCAGCCACATACACTCAAGGTGCAATCAACATAGACCGAGCATTCCTCCCATTGCAGCCTCTTCAGTATAAGCTCCATTAGCCTCTCAAGTGCATTAAACAGGTCGAATAACATGGCAAAAAAATTCATACAAGCCATTTATCATGCTAAAAACAGTCTTAGATCTCCTGACTTCATCCTTCGTCAAATCTAAATTGTTGAACCAACAGGAACCTACCAATACATCCAGACATTCATCTGTTCACAGCAAGGGAAGGCATTGATATGAGTTACTGCATTCACCTGTCAAAAATCAACATAAAACCTGAATGTACTTTTCTTCTATCTGACTATCACTATTGAAGATGATCAAACACTCTATGAAAGTTGTATGATCCTGGCATTCAACATCCACTGTATCTCAATGCTTGCTACATTCCTATGTTGGGCCACTGGACTGAGCTGTACATACTAGAACTATGAATTTAGTATGTATTTCTTCACAAAATTTGGGAAGCTTTTAGTAAACACTAAAAGTGTTGTACACAAAATATCAGATCTTTTAATAAAATATTTTCACTAAATATTTGTCTGTGAATTTATGAAGCATTTACTTAGTCAGTAGTCAGAATAATCATAATTTCAATTAGTTGATAATTTCTGTTAGTCATGACACTAATAAACTAAGCTAAGCACCCTTGAATTAATTAAAATAATGGAAAATCACAATTGCAATATTCTGATTAGTTGATTATTTCTGTGACATTAATAAGTTTATCATAATTTTTATTAACCACTTATTTTACTTGACACTGATTGATGTAATTGATACTCATTAGATAATCAAGTCAATTACCATGCTGTACCACATATTTCATCATTCCAAATAATTTATT